TAAAAAGGTTGGTTTGGGATGGCAGAATAAAAAAAAAAAACACAACAGTATTGCATTTTCAAATGCCACTTTCCAACAAGCAGCACCTCTACCCTTTCACAGATACAAGCCCTGCCATTTTAGGTTGGACAAGCTCTGTCAAACACAGTGACAAGACGCCCATCAGTCTGTACAAACATATTTACAGAGTCTTGCCCTGGTACATACAAGCACCTGAGCATCATCCATGCAGCAAAGCAGAAGCTGCTTTTAGCAGCCCCAGGAAGACCCTCTCCTCTCGCCATGCTGCCAGCACCGAGCAGGAGCCAGGAATGTCACATCAACAGAGGCAATGTGGGCCAGCAACCTAAACTCTGGGGCCTGTGCCTCAGCGCTGCAGAATGATGTACCCTTAATAGCTTCAGCTTAATCACTTCTGTGCCACAGCTAAAGGCAAAGCCATTCCCTTCTTAGAGCACCGATGGGCAGCAAAGGCAGAAATCCCACCAGCCTAGTGGGCACTCCTACTGGAGAAGGCAGTGCTGGAAGGACCTTCCAGGACATGGTCCACAAATAACCTAAGAGAGAAGGGGAACAAGCAGGGAATTGGCCTGTTTTGAAAATTACAGATCAATTTGGATAGAGATATGACAGATCAGCTTAATTAAGTACACAGTAACACTGTCAGGAGAGCAGAACAAGTTACTTCTCTTGCAGAGTTAATACTGCAGATCCAGACCTGTCAGCAGCGGCTGCAAGACACTACCAGCTGCCAATTCTTCGTCCCAGGGCAGTTAGCTAATTGGTGGCTCTGGTCAGTTGATCAGGAACTGCCTCTGTGTAAGACAACAAGCCCTGGCTCTGCTGCAGCCCTGCCAGCCCAGGAGCCATCGTCTTACTCAATAACAAACCCTGCTTAGCAGGCAGGCGTTTGGGGTATCAGACCCAGGGACGGGACGGCACGATGCACCGCCCGCTCACAGCACCACGTCAAGCCTCCTGCAGCGTCACAGGCGCAGCTTCGGCTCTTGGCCCTCTGATCCCTAAACACAAATTTTCCTCCTAGCCTGTGAAAAAGTATTAAACCAGCATTAAAAAGCTCAGCAGCATCTCTCTAACTGAACGCAACGTTCTTCCGTAATTCAGCAGAGAACAACAGTCTCCGCATAGTGCATCTCTCCATTATTTCTCCAGATCAGTCAAGGATACAGAACCGCTGACAGCAAGGCAGTGAGCCACCACTCCTGCTATCACTGGAGAGGGAAAGCAGATTCAATCCTGGATCGCTATCAGCATAACACAGGAAATTTTGATATGCGGCCCCATCCATCTCGGCTCCTGATGGATGGCACCTGCACGTGTGCCACTGATAAAGCCCAAATGCTCATGAACTTCATCCTCATTTCTGCAGTGTAACTCACTCGGCAGCAGCTGCGAGCCGGAGCAATGGAAGTCCTGCCACCCAAAAGGCACTGACTGATGCCAGATACTCAATGCAAGGAGAAAGGAGCAACTCCAAAATGGCTTTAAGCAGGTGAAAGACAGACTCGAGTATGAATGTGCAGCTTGTCTAGAAGATGTGTCAAAGAGTCATTTGCAAGGAGACCAGGGTCCATGCCATGATCAGTGAGGAGGATCTTGTCAGTGATCTACAGCCTCCCTGCTCACTGAGGGTCTGCGCATCAAAATGATCAACAGGAAACACAACAGCAGCTGCTGCTAAGTACACCATGGTTGTATTTCTCATCACGGCGTTATTTTATCTCCAATAGGACCAAAAGCCTCAGAGTCCCCTGTAACTCTTACAAGTCCTGCCCCTACCTCCTGGCTCCGCTCAGTCTTCCCTGCCCACATGCAAGGCTCTGCTAATTGCTTACAGCAAACGTACTAAGGGAATGCATGTAACAACATAAGATCTGTTCTCCATTTCTCTTCTGAGCTCCCTGCTGTATCTCAGTTAGCTGCATAGCTTGTATTTGGACTGCCAGTGTCTCTCACAGCCACAAACACAACCACCCTGAAACAACCGTTGAGCAGCAACTGGCAGGTCATAGGCAGGATTCTGGAGTTGGGCTGCACGCAGGCTGCACGCTTGCCTTGCTGTCACACACCTAACACTTATTTCTCATTATTCAGTTGCCAGCCTCAAACTTTATCCTATAAAAAAGCATGCATCTTCCTAGTCCTTTTTGCTATCCTTACAGGATACAGATAGTCCTTTTGCTATTCCTTACAGGACACAGATACTGTCGCCATAAGCTGGGAAGACGAAGCACAGCTCCCAAGAGCACCGCTGCGAGGGCGAGTACCCACCTCCGAACGCGCACGGCTCTCGCCTGGGCTCCCTTCCCCCTCCTACCGCAGCGATTCCCCATTAATATGAATGATGCTTTCCAATGAGCATGGCTTTGTTAAGCATCTGGGCTGCACCAGAGCAGGGCCCTAAATAATTATATCAAAGTGACCATTAAAAACGCAGCACTGCGTAACGGACTGCCATGGGAGCAGCGAAATGAAGGGCTCCGCATCTGCATTTCAAACTAAGCATTTCCTACCCCAAGGCAGTAGCTAGTGCTCCCCAAGATGCAGATGCTGAGGAAGAGGACAGATTATTTTGAATTTGCTTGCAGATGGGAATGCGCTAGTCACGCTTGACTGCAGTTACTTTGAAACAGATTTCGGACAAGCCCCACTTCTGGCACAAAGTACTGCAGGATGGGAGAGCTGGCACACAAGTCACGTCCACTTCCAAGAACCGGCTCCTCTCCCTCCCCATCTCCCTCATTAAAGCATACGGCTGCCGTAAAAGACGCCGCAATCTCTGCAGTGCACCTTCTGCAGATATCCTCTTACCGGCCGGGGATGCCACGACCCATCTCACAGTGACTTGCAAAACTTCCCAGAGGACAACGGCTGATTTGCTTGTGCACCCGTGCAAGAGGGAAACACCCACTTTTCAGGAGGGAAACAAAGCCACACAGATATTAAGCTCCAGGTCACTCAGACCCACACTGGCAAAAGTCTAAACTTACGACACAGGGCGGGACCACGATGGGATTTAGGCATTGCAGCTGGGCGCACCACGGTGCCCAACAGCAACACGTTGGCACAGTGGCACTGGCAGAGCCACATTCAGCAACACGCTCCCCATCGACTGGGTGAGGAAGAGTCGGATGGGCGCTGCTCCTGAGCCCCTGGCTGCCGTCTCTGTCCTGCTTCAGTGCCAGGACACAGCAGCAGAGGTGAATTCACTGGGTGAGCATCACTGCCAGACCAGAAGAAACAGAGATTGAAAATGCCTATGGAAAGGGCCTATCCCTCACCAGAACAAGGCTCATGGTCACAAGATGAACCAGAGGCTCCTCCTGGGCTCACCTCCCACTGCACCAGGGCAGGAGGTGCAGCCCTCCCCGCAGGGTAAGGCCAACAGGTCCACGCCACCACCGCTCCTCTCTCCAGCACGCCGCCTCCTCTCTGTTACGGCAACTCTGAGTGAGACCGTGGAGTGTGGCACCCACTGACATCTCCCATCGCTCCCTCTGCCCTGCCGCATTCCCCAAGAGCAGAAACACAAGACAAACATGACTGGGAAACAAATTCAGTCCAGGGAAAAATGGCGGGACATGGAAAAGTTGTTTTTTCTCCACAAATAGCAGATAAAAATCTCAGGAAAAGGCACAGCCTGGGCTTGGGGGATAACACAGGTATGAGTCCATGTTTTTTCCCAAACCAGCTGCCAGCCCTGCTGAAATGACGTTCCCTCTCCGGTACGCCAGACAACCCATTCCCTACTTAAAACCCTTCCCCAGCCAGTAGCATTTTACAAAATGTTTTGACTTCAAGAAACACCCATTTACACCACCTCCATCATGCCTGGCTTTCAAAGAAAGCCCTGCTGCACGCCCCTTCGTGGGCATTGCTGCAGGCTCAACATAGAATCATAGAATCATAGAATCATTAAGGTTGGAAAAGACCTTTAAGATCATTGAGTCCAACCGTTAACCCAACCCAACCATGCCCACTAAACCATGTCCCTAAGCGCCTCATCTACACGTCTTTTAAATAGTTCCAGGGATGGTGACTCCACCACTTCCCTGGGCAGCCTGTTCCAAGGCCTGACCATTCGTTCAGTAAAGAAGTTTTTCCTAATGTCCAGTCTAAACCTCCCTTGGCGCAACTTGAGGCGCAGCATCTTCAGCATGACACCAGGCAGTGTGGTCCAAACAGCCCCTCTCTTGGCTCCCCGTCCTCCCCACAACAGCACATCCCAGCACAGGGGATTCCAACCAGCAGCCGCTTCCATCAGTACACTTGACCACTAACAGCATGTTACAGCTCTGGGACAGGTCTGAGCCCAGGTCTGGTTGCAGGAGAGCAGCCGCAAGACGGACGGCAGGAACAACCACAGCCATCCAGAAACACTCCTCTGAAGGAGAGGAGGGTCACAGCCCTCGGTTACCACTGCTGTTACAAACACTTTAAAGACAAAGGAAAATCCTGACAGGAGTAGGAAACACCAGTGCATTTAAGCTCTTCAGGAAATTAAATCATGTCTTCAATAACGGCAAAACACAACAGGAGATACATAATCTCCAGAAGCTTAAATCTATAAAATACCATCAGCAAAGCTGCTGTGACTGATAAACTCCCGAAGGGCACATACAGCAGGGACACGAGAGCAAAGCCATTTGGCCACAGCCCTTCCTCTGAACAGCCTGACAGGCCTTCTGCGTGCTGCCACTACACAACAGGGTCCCAGCCCCTTAACGGGACTATCCCAGGAGGTGAGTGCTGAAGGAGCCAAATGTCAGGACCAGGGCTACACCCAGCAGAGGTCTGGGGGATGGATGCAAAGGTGTTGAGCCATTCCAAGCTAATACAGCCCCTGGTTGCAGGGATTTTCCCCTTAGAAGAAACACGGCTTTCAGATCTACTGCTCCAAAAGACTGAAGACTCCCATTAGCAGTTAAGAAAGACTTGCCTTACCTCGACACCACAGTTATAGGAGAGAACATGCCTACCTCGGTATCTGATATGGAGACCCGATTGGACTCTATCGTTGGTCTCCTCATTATACGTGGTGATGGCCCTGTGGCATAAGGACCATAACCTGGAGTGTTGCTAGAAGCCAAATAACCTCCTGATGACCTTTCCTGAAGAGACAACTTCCTACTTGATAGGACGGGTCTAGTGAGAGGTCTCTTGGGAACATGCCTCCAGTGAGCATCTTCTGACTGTTGGGAAGGCAGAAGTTCATTCATTCCCACATCACTGTTGACACCATTTCTTTGGATGTCTTTTATGATATCAGAAAACACTGTGTCATTTTCTTCAGTGTTGCCTTCACCATTTTGGTCACTTCTCTCTGGGGCAACAGCCACATCTATGGCTGCTACCCGCTCTGCCAGTTCAGTCTGCGTGTCTTTGCAGCACGTGTCTATGCCTCCATCCATGGCATTTGTTGGAGAGTCCCCCATCGCTGCGTCCAGCTCCTATGGTCTCAGATGGCACTGCAGAGAGCTGCGATGCTAGCACTCACAGACAGCATGTGGCATGAAGGAATCTCTCCATGAAATACCTAAAAGGAAACACAGAAGTAAACTGAATAATCATGTTCACTCAACACAAACGTAACCAAGATACCCATCTCTGTCTTCTTCCAACATAAAAGAAAGTGAAGGCAAAACACTGGCAGGCTGTAAACAAGTTGCAAACGCTCAGAAGGAAAGGCAAACCCAAACATCGACCTAAATATGAAAGCGATAAAGATGAGATTTTATCTCATGTGCAACAAGTGAACGGCTAAAGAGAACTTCTCCTTCTGTAACTAGACTGCCAGTCAACTAGAGCTTGCAATAAATGGAGAAGTACAGCTTCTCAATATGCTAAGGGTAAACTGTCAAATTCAGCTTCTTGAATTCTTATTCAAGGGTACAAGAGTTTCTAGTATGTATCCGAACCCAACATGCATAACAAATCCACAGCCATTTAGGGCTCCACAGTAGTCTCTCTGTTGCCCTATAGGGCCCTAGAGTGTCACAGAATGACCTGGAAGCCAAGCCATGGCTGGTGACTTCTACACTCTCAGTTATTTGCAATGTAGTCAACAGCAAAAGCAGAATTTAAAAGCAAGCCTGGTTCCAGGGTTGCCCCTGGACCCCCCACAGTTGCAGCCTGTGTGCAAACGCGCATTAACCTTACTGCCCACCATGTATAAAAGCTATATTGAGTTGCAAATCAACAACACTTAACGATTACCAGCATGTGGTAATCAGCTTTTCCTTTGGAAAAGACGTACAGAACACAAAAATGCGATACAAAGCTAAAACTGCTGAATAAAATCGCTGTTTCCTGGATGCTAATTTCAGTCTCAATTTAAAACAGATTTCAGCCTTCCCAGCATGGTCCAGAGCAGGAAATGATCCTCTGCAGCACATGGCTGCCATCCCTTAATCACCTCTGAAGATGCAGTACTGCAGGGTGCACCATCTCATCCCTCTGCCCAGTTTCCAGGGGCAGTGGGGAAGAACTTTGTTTTAGTCACAGCGTCCTGGACTGCATCCAGTGAGTTTCAGTGTAGGTTTAACTCTGAAATATTGCAACCTTTGGTTCTCTACATGCAAAGCAGGCCGTGCATAAAAATCCTTGCAAGCCAGGTGACACTTGCATCGCCCCGTTTGCACACTGGCTACATTTAATTTACATGACGAAGGGTGGGGGTGAGCGAGTTCCAGCCTCAGCCTGGGAACACACACAACATCCTCGTCAAGGAGCACGGAGCAAAGGTCGAGCCTGGCTTGAAGCTGCCCAATGACGCTCAGCTAAACACACTACAGCTGAACTCCGCTGCAAAGAGAGACGACCTCCCGAGTCCCCCGAGAAGTGCAGCAGCCGAGCTCAAGCAATCTTTTATATCAATAAGGAAACTAGAGAAAGATCTGGATGGGAGGCTTCACCCTAGGTCGCATGCCAATCACGGGGGACACATGCTGGGCACTCAGCATCACAGAAAGGAAACAGCCAAATCCACCACGTTCCTCCCCGCAGCCCGCTGTTCATCTCCTTCCCCTCCTTCTCCACCTAGGTATAATCTTCCCCCCTTCTCCTGCCTTTTCTGCAGGCTTGTTTGAAACAAACTGACAGAAGTGTCACTCACTCAAAACAGTAATGAAATGGTGAGATCTGCTTTAAAAGCTTCTATTAAAACTATATTTAAACCCTTCAATCCCAAAGCACAAATCCCTTTCAGAGCCAGGATGCAGGCAGCGGGGGGTGGCTCGCAGTAGCGAGGGAAGGGGTGCAGGGTTCGGTCCAGCACACACTGCGCACGGTCCCACAGACCCACAGGCAAAGCAACACGAGCCTCCCCGCTCTCCCAAACCCGGCTTCAAGCTGGAAAGCCAGCTGCAGCCCTGCGCTGGCTCAGCAACGATCCTGTCCTTTGAAACGGATTCGCGGGAAGCCCGCAGAGGGCTTTTGCTGTCTGCAAAATGCTCGTGCGAGGTTTGCGCTTGGAAAGCTTCTGGGCTGACCTAGGAGCATCGGGTCAGGGCAACTGTAAGCTTGAAGCTGTTCCTTGCACTCCAGAGCCTGCGGAGCAGCACGTTTCCCGACAGAACACTCGCAAGGACTCCTCGTGGGATGCCTGCACATTTGGCTTCAGGTGAAGGTCAGCACCTCGGCCCCTGGGAAGCACAGACCGGTTTCCAGCCCTGCCTGAGGGACAGCGGCTTCCCAGGGCTGCTTTGCATGGCCAGGAAAGCACCAGTCCACATCTCCAGCAGCAGCAGCCATCCTCTGCGCGGCCGGGGCTGGGCTGCAACTCTGCTCATGGTCCAGCACTCCCAGCCTGCATGTTCCCTTCAATCAGGGAAACCATTTTAAATGAAGGGAGGGAGGGAGTAAAAATGCTTTCACCATTTAATCTAGCTTGCACAAGGGAATAGGAAAAAACCTCTGATTCCACCCTGCGTTAAAAGCCTGGCTTTGCTCTTCTGCTTACAGAGAAACAAACCCAAGGCCTTTCCCTGCAGCAGCTTTAGCTTCTGGACAGTCACCGCCCACCTCACTCCTAGGGAGCATCAAAAGGAAAATCAACCTGCGACTGAAGTCTGCAGCTCCCCCACCTTCTTCCCTCCTCTGCCGCGAGGTTTTCCCCACGTGCAGGAGCAAGGGGAGGGAAGCCTCTGCCTGTGCTGCTGCACAGCTGGCCATGAAAGCCCACAAATGACCCACCTGGATTGAACACTTGGGTGTCTCACACACATCCTCACTGCTCAGCCAACGGGAAAAAAAGCCAGAAGCCCTAGGAACAGCAGCCAGGTCCCAGCAAAGAGCAAGGCTCGTCTTAGCCGCCTGTGCAGCTCTTCACTGCCCAGACCAGGCACTCCGGGGTGTCACCCCCTCAAAAGCAGCAGCACACTTGCACAGCTCTAACCTGCAGCTCAGGCTGCAAAATCAATCTTCAGCTAATTGACAACTTAAATAGATAAACTTAAGATAAACCACATAAACCAGTTCATCCGATCAAAATAAATAGACCCATACAGCATCACAACAAATAATACACTACTGCTACAAGTATGCTAAAAAAATCAGCAAGTCTTAAAGAAAATAATTGTTCATCTGTAGAGCTGGGCTTTGTTTCAGGTTCTGCTGTTTTGAAAGATTCCTTTTTACTGATAAATCCTCCAAAAGTATATTGGAAAGCAATGGTTTGTGAATAAGCAAATCAGTTATGCACAGACCAGTCTTACTGTGCATAAAACTCAGTACAAGAGGCAATTATTTATTTCTGCGAGGCAAAAATCAATGGTGGATTTGCCGTTCGTCGTTTATTTCTGCGAGGCAAAAATCAATGGTGATTTGCTGTTTGTCAGGCTGCAACACAACTGCACCTTGCTGTGACGGGAAATCCCAGCAAAACAGAGACACCACCGCTACCTTCCAAAAGCTCCTGCACAGCTTTGGGCCCAATGCTCTTCACTGGGTCACCAGCCTGATCCCCCACAACACTGAACACCTCCTGTAGATCAGAGGATTATGCTGAACTAAACATGCAAACAAGCTTATATGAGCAAAATTAATTTACTTACACATATCTTCTTTACCATTTTTCCTCTGCAGCTGCAGGCAGACTGCCACTTCAATGGTGTTTTCCACAGTATATTTATCAAATGGCTGCACATGTTTCTCAGGCACTGAGGGAGCACGGTACAAAATATCCTTTTGAAAGGAATATGATTCTGGAGAAAATCTCTCTGTATTGTATGTGGGAGTGGGAGATGAGCAAATGCAATTAATTTTGCTGCTCAATAAAGTATTTCAAAGCATTGTTTGAAAAATAAAAAATTGTAAATCTAGTTTACTGCTTGGTCCTTCCATTTCGCTAACTAGAAAAGTTCCTATGAGGAAGGACGGGGAGGTTAAAAGGCCCTGGGTCTCAGCAAATCCAGCTTCATTTCCTGATTTTGCTACAGACTACCCAGAAAAGTGACTTTACAGCTTCATCTGTCACAGTTCCCAGGTTAAGAGGAATGACGCTGGCCTCAGCCCACCTCGTCCCGCTTCCCCTTTCCGTCTCTGAGAACACATCTGCCCTGCGCTGAGGCACCAAGGGCCTTTGCAGTAAAATAAGGCACAGTGAATAACTATAACAAGCATTTGCATGGAAAGCATTCAGGCAGCAGTATTGCTGCTGCACAGAGTTGGGGACTTCTTCAAATGCCCGTGGATGGCATCCTCCATGCCAGGATGGGGACCAGCAGGGACGTCACACTGAAATCCTGTTTGAAGGCCACATCCATTAGGTGCCTCTTGACCCCCACAACACCCACAGGCACTCTCACGAAGAGAGGTCCCAAAGATCACAGAAGGCTTTAGTCCACCTCTTTAATATACACCAGCAAGGTCAGGAGTCAGGCCAAGTTTTCTAAATGGTGCAGGCAGCCATGTGCCAGGACAGGCTGCCTGCAGAGGGGATGTCATCTCCACCACCAGCATCCTTGAGCTTGGGTCAGACCCCACACCAGGAACTCAGTCCTGCCTTGGGGCAGAGCTGGGCTGCGCATCCAGCCCTATCTTGTATCACCCTGTGCTTGTGTTGTGTTTCCTTGAGACGTTCCCCCCCTTCAGATGTTCTCCCACAGCAGCGCAGCCAGGATGAAGAATCTGCTCTGACTGCTGTCAACTGGTGCCAGAAACTCCCTTTAAGGAGAGAAGCAGCAAGTCCTGAGCTGGGCTGCCAAGTCCTGAACAGCTCCTCAAATGACATTTTTGAAATATTAGGTCAGCAAGTCCCTTCCAGAGCTTGAGCTGTCTCCCCACACCAAGCAATGCAGCCTATGACTATTTCCATCCTGTCCTCCCTGTTCTGCAGACAGGTCTGCAGGACTTCCCCGAGTACTCAGCGTTAGTCCACTACCCTGACATGAGGGAGATATTTCCACACCCCCCAGCCTGATCCCATCAACTTTTT